CGACCAAAACGCTGGCTTGCATCCATAGATGCTTCTCAAGCAAATCCCGGGACGTCATTCTCCCCCTGTACTCGGCCTTAGTGAGGCCGCAGCTGGAGTACTGTGTCCAGTTTTGGGCTCCACAATTCAAAAAGGATGTGGAGAAGCTTGAGAGAGTCCAGAGAAGAGCCACGTGCATGATCAGAGGTCAGGGAAGCAGACCCTACGATGACAGGCTGAGCGTCCTGGGGCTCTTTAGCCTGAAAAAGCGCAGGCTTAGGGGGGATCTGATGGCCACCTACAAGTTTATCAGGGGTGACCACCAGCATCTGGGGGAACGTTTGTTCACCAGAGCGCCCCAAGGGATGACGAGGTCGAATGCTCACAAACTACTTCAAGATCGTTTCAGGCTGGACAGAAGGAAGAACTTCTTTACTGTCCGAGCCCCCAAGGTCTGGAACAGCCTGCCACCAGAGGTGGTTCAAGCGCCTTCATTGAACACCTTCAAGATGAAACTGGATGCTTATCTTGCTGGGATCCTATGACCCCAGCTGACTTCCTGCCCTTTGGGCAGGCGGCTGGACTCGATGATCTTCCGAGGTCCCTTCCAGCCCTGATGTCTATGAAATCTATGAAAGTATGGAGGCAAAGGCCTGGAGAAAAGTAAAGAGCTAGGTGTCCCAGATAAAAGCCAAGAAGCAAGAGTCTACATGGAAAACCTTAAATATATTATCAGAAGGAAATTAACAAGACAACTGGTTAGTCATCTAAGATGCTTAGAGTAACATGAAATACAAGGGTACTATTAAGAAAGAATGACATCCTAGTATATACATGGATAGTTCATAAGGCTGGAATACTATCATGGATGGTTGTTATTATTCAAGAATGAAGGTCACCAGAAAGGAGGTGGTGCTGTCCTCTATGTACAAGAGTTGTGCATATGTTCATAGGTGCTATACAAAACAGCAGGTAGAACTAAGTCTCGCATCAAGAAAAAAGTGGAGGATATCAGGGATAGATCAAAGGGGGAGAGTGGCACAGATGCCCCTCATTTCTGACCACATGGCCAGAGCAGAAGCTGTGGACTTAAGTCCCTAAAGAATGTTAGAATGTCCTCCTATCCTCCTTATCTGTGCTCAAACGCACCCACCCCAACCTCAATCTGCCACTGTTCCTTTCTCCCACTGTCCAGGGGGTGAAGGTAGGTCCTGTCCTTTTTCAGCCAAGTTGCATGGAGGCCAGGCTGGTATAAAGGAGGAAGGGGGGGAAACAGAGATTTTTTTCTTCTTTCTCTCACTCTTTCTCTTATTTTATTTTATTTTATTTTATTTTATTTTATTTTGCCACATGCCTCCACCCACACCCGAAGACAAGTGGTGTGTTAGTATCATAATACACCATATGTTCCAGGGTTTGTTGTAGATCCATTCTTCCATATTGGATATATCTCTAAATGAGATCATTCAATATAACTGCAATACAGTTAAGGTTCCATATGTAATCAACCTTACTCATTACAAGCAATGGAACCAGATCCTTGTTTTTTATACATCATTGACTTTGATTGAGGTACAGGGATGTTCACCATGCAGGAACTGGCCCACATGTTTATAAATGATGAATGGGATTTGAAACAGAAGACTAGGAGAGTAGATTCAGGCTAGATATCAGGAGTCACTACTTCACAGTCAGGGCGGCTAGGACTTGGAACCAGCTTCCAAAGGAAGTGGTACTCGCTCCTGCCCTGGGGATCTTTAAGAGGAGGCTATATAGGCACTTTGCCAGGGTCGTTTGACCGCAGCATTCTTTCCTTCCATGGCAGGAGGTCAGAATTGATGATCTGCTCAGGTCCCTTCTGACCCTACCAACTATGAAAAAAATTTAAGGATGCGAATTTCTGCTCTGGGCCTTGTTCACTGTATTCTCTCTGGATCTCATATAGATATAGTTATCTTCCACACTGTCTACCCATGCTCCTCATTTACTTTATTTCAAACAACCTTGTTTAAATACCCAATAGCTCCAACTGCATCTCTAAAGTACTAGTTGAATCAATGTATTACAGTAGTAAAACACAAAGAGAAAGAGGCCAATGGCCTACTGTCATAGTTTCATAGTTTCATAGTTGGTAGTGTCAGAAAAGACCTGAGCAGATTATCAAGTCTGACCCCCTGCCATGGCACGAAAAAGTACTGGGGTCAAACAACCCCAGCAAGGTGTTCGCCTAACCTCCTCTTAAAGACCCCCAGGGTAGGAGCCAGCACCACTTCGCTTGGAGGTTGGTTCCAGATCCTAGCCTCCCTGACTATGAAGTAGCACCTCTGATGCCTAGTCTGAATCTACCCTCTGCCAGCTTGTGACCATTATTTTTAGTCACTCCTGGTAGTGCTCAGGGAGAACAGGGACTCCCCCAATGCCTGCTGGTCCCCTCTGACTAGTTTGTAAATGACCACTAGATCCCCCCTCAGCCTTCTCTTGTGCAGGCTGAACAGGTTCAGGTCCCTTAGCCTCACCTTGTAGGGCCTGCACTGCTGCCCCTTGATCATGCGGGTGGCCCTCCTCTGGACCCTCTCCATGCTGTCCACATCCCTCCTGAAGTACAGCGCCCAGAACTGGATGCAATACTCCAACTGCAGCCTGACCAGTGCCACACAGAGGGGGAGGATCACCTCCTTGACCTGCGCGAGATGCATCTGTGGATGCATGACAAGGTGTGTTTGGCGTTCCTGACCGTGTCCCCACACTGTGGGACCGCGTACCCACAGCCCATGTTCATTTTGGCATCAATAATGATTCCAAGATCCTTTTCTGCCTCTGTACTGACAAGAAGGGAGTTCCCTAGCCTGTAGGTCTGCTGCTGGTTCTTCCTCCCCAGGTGCAGCACCTTGCACTTGTCAGTGTTGAAACCCATCCTGTTCTCATCTGCCCACCCCTGTAACCTGTCTAGGTCCAATTGCAGGCTATTCCTCCCTTCTAGCATGCCCACATCCCCCCACATCTTAGTGTCATCAGGAAATTTGAACATGGTGCTTTTTACCCCCTTGTCCAAGTCACTGATGAAGATGTTGAACACCGTCCGAGGACTGAGCCCTGGGGGACCCCACTGCCCACATCCCTCCAGGTCAAAAATGACCCATCCACCACCACTCTCTGGGTGCAGCCCTCCAGCCAGTTAGCGACCCTTTTGACTGCATAGGTGTCTATGCCACAGTCCCCTAGTTTTTTTAATGAGAATGGAGTGAGAGACAGTGTCGAAGGCCTTCCTGAAGTCCAGAAAGACTACGTCCACTGCTACCCCTTTGTCTAAGGATTTTGTGACCTGGTCATAGAAGGCCATCAGATTGGTCTGACAGGACCTGCCTCTAATGAACCCATGTTGGTTGCCCCTAAACATAATCTCCCATGCTGGCCCCTCATGGACATGCGCCAGGATAATTCTCTCAAAAACTTACCCAGGATCGAGGTAAGACTAACTGGCCTATAGTTTCCTGGGTCCTCCTTCCTCACTTTTTTGAAAATGGGAACCACATTGGCCCTTTTCCAGTCCTCTGGCACCTCACCAGAGCACCATGAGTGTTGGTAAAGCCGTGCCAGGGGTCCTGCAATGACCTCTGCTAATTCTGTCCTAGAGGGTGAGATCACAGGTGAGACCTAAGTTAAGAAAGGACAAGGGAAGGGATGACACTTAATAAGCTAAGGTCCGGTGCAGTGGGCCTGAACAAAAGGGACCAGCAAGAATGGAGGGGTGGACACTGAGGAAGCCAAGTACCCAACAAGGGAAAGTGACTGGATGGTAACACCTGCAAGACATGGATATAGCTGTAGAGTTGGTTGGAGGCCTTACATGTAGTGCTTATGTAATTTCATATTGAGAAATACTGGCCGTGTCTACACATGCCTCTTTTAAGTGGGCTTAGCCTAAAATCAACATTTTTTAAGGTGCATTAAGGCCACGTGTCAATACCTTAATGTATCTTAAAAATGGTGATTTAAGTTTATGTGACTTAACTATTCATGCCTAAATTTTAATGTGCTTTAATATACATTAGTGCATCCATGTGTAGACATGCACCTAAATTGCCTTACTCTGCCTTAAGCAAAGTTTAGGTGTATTTAAATACACATATAGACAAACCCACTGAGAGAGAGTGACAAAGGCCAAGCACTAGACAAGAGGTTCCCAAGGGGCCTGGGTAGTCTCCCAACATTTATGCCTCCAGAAATAACATCAAAGGCATGGCAGGTAACAGAAGGAGAAGGTCCCTGGGGCCAAGCAAGCAGGAGTTTGGTGGATTGCAGGAGGCACCACTATGACTTTTGCCATCATCTTGCTACAGTTGGCTTTCACCTACCTTACTCTGTGCTCTCTATCTGTCATTTGATTTATTTGCAAAAATTCAAGCATGATAGAATATTCAATATGGTTCATCAAGGACCTCAGGAATAAAGTGCTTATAATCAATTTTAGGTCAAGAAAAATTCATCCCCTACATTTCTGAGTCCCCTTCAGGGAAGAAAGTCTTATTACTAAACCACTGGATAAATATATTATGGGATCTATAATAATGTATTTTAAAATAGTTATAAATCAAACTGCCATCAAAATAGGCTAAAATTCAAGATGAAACCAAGCTTAACTGACATACCTTGTCCTCATCTACATAATGTTTTAAGGCAGCTAAAACACTTGCCTCATGCAATGTTTTCTTCATTCAGTGTAGTGGGAGATAGACACCAGGATATTATGAGAATAAATATCCTTGGTGTTTTTGTTCTAATATCATCCAGGTTGTTTTCCATACTTCTGTATTTTTTATAATATTTATTTTCAATACAAACACTGAACTTTACTATTTACACTTGTATTTTTTTTTATGTCAGTTGATAACTTTATTGTTTTTTTAAAAAAATCCTGCCCATGGCTGTTTTCACTTCTTTATTCCTCAGGCTATAAATGAGAGGGTTTAACATGGGGGTTAAGATGGTGTACTGGATGGAAAATACTTCAGTGAGGATCACTGAAGAAATGGACTTGGGTTTCAGGTACTGAAAAAGAGCTGTTGTGTAAAATAAACCCACCACAATAAGGTGGGAGCTGCAGGTGGAGAAGGCTTTATGTCTACCCTCTGCAGAGCGTATCCTCAGGAGGGTGGAGATTATATGGAAGTAAGAAAAAAACATGAGGAGGAAAGTGCAAACACCAAAGATGACACCAGAAGAAAGAAGAGATATTTTGTTGGCAATTGTCTCTGTGCAGGACAGTGCTAGTAGTAGGGGAAGCTCACAGCTAAAATGCCCAATTTCATTGGGACCACAGAAGTGCAACTTTAATACAGGAACTGTATTGAGCATTGAATGCATAAGACTTACTGTCCAGGAAGCACCCACTAGCTGCCTGCACACATTTTTGTTCATAGACCTCACATAACGCAGGGGGTTACATATGGCAGCATAACGGTCATAAGCCATTACTGAGAGCACAAATGCTTCAGAAGTAGCTGAGAGAAAGATGAAGAACATTTGGGTAAAACAACCAGTGACAGAAATAGTTTTATGCTTTCTTAGAAAGTTCACCAGCATCTTTGGGACAACAGCTGAGGAATAGCAGATATCAACAAAGGATAGGTGAAACAGGAAGAAATACATGGGGGCGTGAAGGTGAGAATCAGCTCTTATCACCAGCATGACAACTGCATTTCCCACTAGGGTGATTAGGTATATCACCAAAAACACAAAGAACAGTAAAATTTGGAGTTGTGGGTCACTAGAAAGTCCCAAGAGAATAAACTCATTCACAGTAGTTTGATTTTCCATTCCCCGGTAGTGACCTGTAAGAAGACAAAAATATTTGTTATTAAGACAGTGACAGCAATAGGAATTCTCATAAAAGATAAATAAGTACAGACATACAGTACTATATGGACTACATTAACTTTTTAAAGCCAGCTGTTTGGCTTGAATAACCAAACTGACTGAGAAGCAGCTTTGCAGCTCAGAGGAAATTTCACTTTTCAGAAATTTAGTTTTGGTGCAAGTCAGAATATGTTACACCCACATTTACCAACCCCTATATACTGATCACTTTCTAAATAGTCATGGTGCTTCATCTAGCCTTTCCAGGGTTCAAGTTCCTGCTCTCTGGCAGGGAACCTAGAAGCTCTAAGATGCCCAACTTTTTCAAGGCAAGGCTTGTGGGCAGAACCACTGTATGGAGAGTTCTTGGGGAATTACACAACCTGCTAATCAGTGGCAATGAGTAGGGGGTACACGGTGGTACACGTGCACCCCCTGAGAGTGCTGGTGAACCTCCTGACAGGCCACGCTCCCTGGTCAGGTGATGGGCAGGGGGGTAGGCAGGACCGTCAGTGCACTGGCTGGGGAGTGGGAGTGCTTTGGCCGCTTCCTGGCCAGCACGATCAGCCACGGGGACTCCATTCTGGCTGGCACGATCAGCTATTGGGAGGGTATGATCGGCCCCAGTTGCTGACTGGTCACTGGGGGGGCTCATACCCCCCTGACTAAGGCAGCACCAGTCTCTCATGCTGCTAATGCCTCATAGATTCATAGATTGTTAGGAGCTGGAAGGGACCTTGCAGATCATCAGGTCCAGCCCTCCCCCACTCTCGGCAAGAAGACAACTGAGGTTAGGTGACCCCAGTGAGCCCACTGGAAATCTGCCAACTAGTTTTACCAGAAAAGTGACATGCAACTCAATTTAAAATAAGAGACAGTTAAAACAAAATTGGGGGGAAAAAAACACACAGAAAATGATAGAAGGCTGAAACAAAAATAAAACTGTCAAAATTACATACCTTTCCAGAAAAAAAATATAAATTTCTTTCCTTGACCAGCCCTGATTAGCAGTTATTCATTACCCATGGATATTTGTCAACCATTTTAAATCCACACTTTCCAGTTCCCTTACAACACAAACTTTTTGGGAACAAGGGCTACACTGTTCATGGTATTCAAACCAACAGAAAAGGTCCCATCCCTTGTGTTGAGTCTGTGCCACTAAGCAGAACAGAACTCACTGTAAAAAGGACGAGAGAGAGAAAATGAGAGAACACAAAAGGCAGTCTGACAGGCACGATATGGGGATTAATTTAGGAGGTAGGAATCCTTGTTTCTGGTGCCTGCCCCAAGGAGTGCTTTTGTGTTTCTCATTAAACTATCTTCAGGGGAAAAAAAAAAAAAGACAGGTCAGCACTGACCTTTCAGTCCAGAACTGAGGAGACACCCACAGCAAAATTAAAGCCTGTATGCTAGAGTGGAACTAGATTAATTTCTTGGCTCCTAGGTAAAAGGATTGGGTCATTTAAGTCCCAGAAAGGCTGCTTATGCACAGCTGATAGCTATCACTGTGGTGTGTATCCCTGTGCACATGGATGCCTTCCTACTTAGCCAGAAATAAAATGTCACCCCCTTGCTAACGTGGCCTTTTGGGGACTGAAACCATCATGGACACAACCAAATCTAGGCATCCAGAAAAGAAGAGAATGTTACACTAGGCTTCAGCCTCATGCCTTTGGTATTTTGAGTGGTCTCCTGTGGTGTGTGAGTTTGAGCCCCTTTAGGCAGACAAGAAAATTTAATACCAGAGCCCTATATGCTTGACAGATGTGCTAAACACTGAGCAGCTAATAGAAAGGAAGGTGGCACTAATATCACCACCAAGCAAGTTTTAAAACAAGATTGTGTTCACTAAGCATGCTCTGATAACAACCACAAGATTAGGCTTCTCACATCTCCTAGACAGACAAACACATCTTCTTTGAACCCTGACAGTAACCTAGGGCTGTCCTGATCTAACACAGGGGTTAAGTTCTAGGCACTTGGGAAACTTGAAATTGAAACCTAGAAATGCCCATAGGGTCTAGGCACATCTAGGGTTAGGTTGCAGGTAATACAGACATTCACAATTGCAACTTTGGATGTAGGTACCTGCATTTCACCTGATTTTGGATTAAGGCACATCAGCTTTTTTGTGGATCTGGCCCCCTGGACATATCACTGGGAGATATACAAGCATTATCAAATCCAGCCCAATATATTTTGTACACACCTATTAATTATTCCCTCTCTAATGATCAGCCTATAGGAATTTATGGACAGGTCATACAGATTTCCTTTTTCTTATTCTTACACTATACTTTCAGAAAAAAAAAAAAGATCTTTTATAGCTGCCTTTCCCCCTCTCCTCCCCAGATATACTTGCTGAAAATCTCCTTTTTCATGTTACACCCCTTGTACCCCAGGATAGGCAAGACAAATTATCTTAGACTAAACCCCTGGTAATCCTGATTACCCTTCTTGACATCTATTACAGTTTGAATTATTTTTTTTTCTTAAAGAGTGGTAAAAAGAATTGTGTACATTATTCAACATAAGGCCTTTCCAGTAAGTTTTGTTACATTTTCTGTTTCAAATGACACACATTCACACACGTGTTGATTTGTGTATGTGTGTATGTATATGTATAAGCAGACACAAAAATGTATTAATGTATATGAATTTAGTCTTATATGAACCCCACCCAGACTTACACCCAATAGATTAAAAAATAAAATATAATTGCACTTACCGAAAATCCACAGAGAAATGTTCATGTGATGTCTGTCCATTAGCAGACAGAGAGAGGGAGAACAAATTCTGATGTCAGTGAAGTTTTACACTGCTTTATTCAAGAAATGGGGCTGCTGATGTTATAGGGTCTGTTTTAAGAAGGAAATAGTCAAAATAAGACTGAGTACCACGTAGTAAACTCAGTTGTTTGATCATCTGTTTGTCTGCCTTCTTGCCTCCCACTGCTCTTGTCCCTCTCTCTCTCACAAACATGGAACACAAGAATATAAACTACCCTTTACCCTGAAAAAAGCTCAAGGTGATGAAGTATTACTTGTTTGTACATCCAATATAAATATCTCCTTTTACTGCTGCTCGCCACTAGGAAAAAAGACCCATCATTTTCCAAGCTCTGAGACTTAACATTAATTTGAGAATCTAAATATACTCTGTGTACCCCAGGGACCCAGTAGCTGTTGTATAATTAGCTAAGAGTGTTTTGCTCAGTAATGGGCCATTTTGCAAGCCAAAATATGATAGATTTAGATTGATGTGTTTGTTTTGACTCGCTTTGAATATTGATTTCTCTGTAGGAAATTGGCAGGGGAAAATATTATAAAACCCCTTACCCAATGGTGTTTGTCCACTTTCTCCAATTTTCTAAGAGCAAGCATTTATTGGCCAACTCCACCAGCAGAGGCAGAGTCCATGCCTGAAGGTTAGAACAGACAAGCAGTCAACATGCTTCAGATTTGATTTCCCAGTATTGTACAAATGTACAGGTCTTTGCCAGCTGCAGTGATTCATAATGCCCTGGTGACACTGCTGCTGTAATGCTGCACAACTACATGGCTAATGACCAGACATCCCACTATGCCTCTTGGCCATGGTCCCATAGAGGATTTTGAAGACACATGAATGGCAACAGCAGAGCCTTCTATTCTGGGATTCCTTCCACTGGGTGACTGGTCATTTTCATGGAAGAAGCACTGGCCTCACACATGGCCTTCACTGGAAGAGCAGCAAGGGCCTGCACTGTTCAACATCTTCATCAGCGACTTGGACGATGGGTAAAAACAGGGGTAAAAAGCACCCTGTTCAAATTTACAGACGACACTAAGATGTGGGTAGAAGTGGGCACGCTAGAAGGGAGGAATAGGCTGAAATAAGACCTAGACAGGTTACAGGGGTGGGCAGATGAGAACAGGATGGGTTTCAACACTGACAAGTGCAAGGTGCTGCACCTGGGGAGGAAGAACCAGCAGCAGACCTACAGGCTGGGGAACTCCCTTCTCATCAGTGCAGAGGCAGAAAAGGAACTTGCAGCCATTATTGATGACAAAATGAACATAGGCTGACCATGTAGGGATGCGGTCAGGAAGGTCAACCACACCTTGTCATGTATCCACAGATGCATCTCAAGCAGGTCCAAGGAGGTGATCCTCCCCCTCTATGCGACACTGGTCAGGCCGCAGTTGGATTACTGCGTCCAGGTCTGGGTGCTGCACTACAGGAGGGATGTGGACAGCGTGGACAGGGTCCAGAGGAGGGCCACTCGCATGATTAGGGGGCAGCAGTGCAGGCCCTACAAGGAGAGGCTAAGGCACCCGAACCTTTTCAGCCTCCACAAGAGAAGGCTGAGGGGGGATCTAGTGGCCATTTACAAACTAGTCAGAAGAGACCAGCAGGCATTGGGGGAGTCCCTGTTCCCCCGAACACTCCCAGGAGTGACAACAATAATGGTCACAAGCTGGCAGAGGGTAGACTTAGACTAGATATCAGGAGGTGCTGCTTCACTGTCAGGGCATCTAGGATCTGAAAGCAACTTCCAAGAGAAGTGGTGCTGGCTCCTACCCTGGGGGTCTTTAAGAGGAGGCTAGATGAACACCTTGCTGGGGTTATTTGACCCCCAGTACTCTTTCCAGCCATGGCAGGGGATTGGACTTGATGATGTACTCAGGTCCCTCCGACCCTACCAACTATGAAACTATGAAAGCACATAAGAGACCGTTACCATTTCTTTTTGTCCAGACTCTCAGAGAGCATTGCTCTTATTTCCTCTTCACAGTGGAATATATTGTCATAGCTAGCCGTGCTTTTCTTTACCCTGTCTATTCTCTAGTGTTTTATGTCCTGGCAGCAGGAGGCACTTGCAAGAAAAGTCCTCAGGCTTTTCCATGTGCCTTTTGTCTCAGGGAGCTACATGCCTATGGAGCAAGAACAAAGGGAAGTTTTCACCTTTCTGAGCA